ATTAACTGAATGTACTGATTGAAGCAAACTGCCAAATAACAACACGTGAAATCACTAAGAGATTAAATTTGTCAAACTGAACTGTTTATGATTACTTGAAACAAATTGGTTTTGTTTTAAAGCTTGATGTATGGGTTCCACATGTTCTTAAAGAGAGATGCTCTCTTTGGTGGGATTTTAAGAAAATTTTTTTTTGGAGCTTTTACCAGACAATTTAACAATTGATTTGAAAGTGTACTGCCATCGAGTAAACAAATTGAGTAACATCATCAAACAGAATAGGCGGCCAGAATTGATTAACAAAACAGGTGTAGTGTTTTGCCACGATAATGTCAAATTTCACACAAGTCTGGTAACTTGTCAGAAACTGTTATAACTTAGATAGGACGTGCTATCACACCAACCATATTCATCAGATCGAGCACACTCAGATTATTACTTGTTCCAGTCTATACAAATTTTTTTTAACTGTAAGACATTTACTTGAAATGACAATGTCAAAAATCACTTGGATCAGTTTTTTGTAAGCAACAATCAAAACTTTTATGAATGTAATATCATGCTACTACCAGAAAGATGACAACAGGTATTTGACCAAAATGGTTGATATATAATTCAATAAAATATTTATTTATTATAAAAATATTGTGTTTTTTTTCCATGGAAAAAAAACGAAATTACTTTCTGAACAACCTAATATAACTGATAGAACATCGCTTACTATCACTTATTACAGCGCTGTCCAACTGGCGGCCCGCGGGCAGTATACGGCCCGCCAAATAATTTTTACGGCCCGCGAGTACATTTTACTATGAATAAATTTATGTTACTAAATTATTATTATTAATATTAAAATTATTTTACTACCGTGTTTCCCCGAAAATAAGACAGTGTCTTATATTAATTTTTGCTCTGAAAAATGCGCTAGGTCTTATTTTCAGGGAATGTCTTATTTTTTCCAGGAAGAAGAATTCACATTTATTATTGAACAAAAAAATTCCCAAGTCGAACTTAGACGAGAGTGACGTATATCCGGTGTGTCGAACTGTCTCCTTTTTATAGCGTCAACATCGGACTCGTTGACCAATTAGTGCTTACTGAACCGTAGCACTATGCAAATGTTGTGTGGTTTATCAACCTTCTTGGCCCCCGAAATGTTTGGTGAAGAAAATATGGCCCGCGGACTATGATAAGTTGGACAGCGCTGACTTATTATATTATGATGAACATATTTTGATTTAAATCAAACAAACAGCTGGATTCTTTATCTAGCTACTTAAGGTTAATTAAGCAGTCTGTTAAAGAATCTGTCTGTTCATTTGATATTTAAATTATCAGGTTGGTTGTATACATAATATTTTGATTCACATATTTTGTGTTTAAATACTTACTTATTATGATAAGTTACAGCAGTATAAACTTCTGAACAATATTCTGGACAACTAGATCTTCCAAATATTACCTAATTAAATTTAAATGAAAATTTAAAAAATATTATAAAATAAAAATTGTTATATGTATTATATTCAAACATTTATATGATTACTATTAATACATAATTTTGTTATTTTAACAATTCTTTCAATCATAATTAACAAACTCAAAAATGATTAATACTAAATATTTCCACAAATAAACTTAATTATGAAAATTAAACAATTTCAGTGTAAAAAACTGATACAAAAATAGGTCCAACTTTAATTCTTGGAGCATTTATTAATATAAATTGCATCATTCAACATCAGAATAATTATATTATTAATCATATTTCTTCATTATTAATGCCGTAATATTATTCTTGTCCTCTTCATCATCTTAATTATTTTCCAATTTATCAGTTATCAACTTCAATCAACAATGTTCTATGCTTAGTATCAAAATTATGACATCAAAAGTAAGTCTATTATCTAAGAATAAATCCACAGGCTTATTTTTGGAAATTGTGAAATTTTCAATAATTTTAGTAATACTGTCATGCTTAATATTGTTTCATTTAAAATTTATCTAATAATAAATTGAAACTGCCATTTTTAATTAATTGAGGTGCCTTCACAAAATTTTGTGTTAAAAAAATTATAAAAATTTTGCTATCTAGTAAATTTTAGCCTAATCAGAATAAAGATGACTAGATTCATTATTTCTTTAGAAAAATTTCAATTTCTTAATACAGTATAATCTCCATCATCAGATCAGAATAGCAGACACCAGCAGAATTGAGAAGTTGATCTGCTATTTAGAGGTATATGTTGGCAGCCATATTGTATTTTAACCTGGTCATTATAAAGTGAAGAATACAATGGATTATGAAAACATCAAATTTGCATTACGAATGTGAATATACCAAAAAGTATATATAGCACATATAATTAAAATATATACACACTACATTATTTATTTTTTCTTTATCATTATTATTCTGATTAGGATAAAATTTACTACATAGCAAAAGTTTTATAATTTTTTAACACAAAATTTTGTGAAGGCACATCAATTAATTAAAAATGGCAGTTTCAATTTATTATTAGATAAACTTTAAATAAAACAATATTAAGCATGACAGTATTACTAATATTATTGACAATTTCCAAAAGTAAGCCCATGGATTTATTCTTAGGTAATATAGACTTACTTTTATCTTTAATAAATTATGACATCAAAATGTCATAATTTTGATACTAAGCTTAGAACATTGTTGATTGAAGTTGATAACTGATAAATTGGAAAATAATTAAGATGACGAAGAGGACAAGAATAATATTAAGGCATTAGAGTGTAATAATGAAGAAATATGATTAATAATATAATTATTCTGATGTTCAATGATGCAATTTTTATTAATAACATGTTATTTCTGTTATCTCTACTATACTGTTTGAGATATTAGTTTCAACAATTTTCGAGACAAGAAGCTCTTTTATAATTGCTCATATACACTTTTATGTATCTAAGCAGTGATGATAATGTAATCAAAATAACATTTTTTTTTTTTTGTACAAATACAACACTTGTATGTGTAAACATAAACTATATAGCCTAACTCTAAAGTAAATTAACATAATTATAGTTAAAGGCCTTTTTTAATTAATACAGTGAAACCTCCATTAATGGACACTCCTCAATAGCAGACACCTCTACTAAATTAAATAAATTAAAATATATCTTTTATAGACATTATAGACATTAACTTACTGGCAAACAACTTGTTTCTTCTTCACCTGCCATAAATTGAACTTTGCATGCAATATTTCGAGCAGATCCTGGACGATTTGCAAAATTTAGATCTTTTGGATAAACATACATGAGATTACGATATGTATAATGTGGCACAAAGACTTCTTTTGAAGGAAATTCTAATATTTCCTTTGTAGGACGACCTTTATCATCTGGATATGGATGAAGATGAACAAGTTCTGGGGTTAAACAATATTTAACTTCATCAGGACATGGTGATATATCAAGTTTCAAGCTACCTGTTAAAATAAATATATGATTTTATATTTATTTAGAGTAAATAAAAACAAGAAAAAGCTGTGTTATCTCAAAATAACAAAATAATACATTTTCATTATTTTTCTTAAAAGATTAAATGGCATTAGATTGTTTAACTTCTCATTAAATACTATAATCACTAGAAGTGTAAGAAAGTACATCTAAGACTTAATAGAATGTGACCTGATAGAACATGATATCGCATATAATGTGATAACAGTGAATCTCAATTCTGGTGTCAGGCTTTTCACAGCCAAGCTTTCTATTGCACTTCAATGAAATTAGTTTGGTTTTGAATCTAATGCATTTTGGCACCAAACTTCAATGGTTTTCACACATGTATATAAACAGTAATCCTTTGTACTACTGCCATTGACATGCAATTAACTTAATCATTTAATGCAATAAGAAAAATTATTAATTAATAATAAAACGATTTTATTATTTTTTCTCATTATATGATTTCATTACATTTGCGATTGTCATTGCGGAATCGAAAAAGGAAGGTTGCGTGTAAAACTGATTTTTGCATTAATGCATTTATTGTTTTTTGAATATTTTGCATGCAAAAATTACTTGGATATTATTTTTCTAAAAATATCATGGAAGTAAGGTAGGTTGATACAGAAACTATTTATCGCACACGTACTGTATATGAGCTTAAAAATAAATAAATAAAAATAAATTTTATCAAATGATGAGATCAGCCGATTAATTGTATCGTGTACAATATTTTATACCCACAAGGAAAATACTGTAAGTCTATGGTAAAATAAATTTCATTTTCCCACAGTAAAACTTCGCTGCTAATTGCTGTTGTGATAAGTTTAATACGATCTTCTAACAACAGCACTTTGCATTTCTTTCATTTTTTGGACAATTTCTAACAAACTGAAATGAATTTCCTTTGTTGCTAGACTAATTCATTAACACCTGCACCTAATTTCAAGAGTGGGAGAAGTATCTGAGGTGGGTTCAAACAAGAGTTTAGACTAATTCATTATATTAGGAGGGGGGAACATTGTTGAACAATAGTTTAGACCAGATATATTTGTGGAAGTGGTCACTTATTACAGTTGTTGTATGTTGTTTTGGACCCAAAATCGATGCCTGTGGTCATGTTATACAGGTGGTCATTTAATACAGGTAACTTATACAAAGACTCTATGGATAAACTATTTGGTGCCAGAAATTTTTGCCTGTTTTGACAGGTGCCCATCGAATGCAGGTGGTCACCTAAGCAGTTTTCACTGTATTTAATTTATGTAACTATAAAGGTTATTTTAGGTAAGGATTCATCACACCAAGTGATCAACCTAACATATTTTAAAAATTCTTTATTCCTCTACTGTACACATTTAAAAATACATTAGATTGATCACTTGGTGTGACAAATTTTTACATAAGATAATCTTTGTAGTTATATAGATGAAATACTTTAATATAATATAATAGAAGAGTTAGAAGTATGAAATAATCTAATAATTGTAATCTTTGTTGTTATTTTTTGCCCAGGCAATGCTTGGTTCATCTGTTAGTAGTTAATAAACAGAATGTAATAAGTGAAGCCTTCCATAACATTATTTTCAAACATAAAAATATGAAAATATTAATATATCATCATACCTGGTATACATTTTAAACGTTTATGAACTGATTGCGGCCGTTTCAGATCAGCTAAAAACTTGTATAAATCTTCATCTCTCAGTCTATCATTTTCCTTTTTATTCATATAACAATAAAAAATAATAATAAATTAAAATTAAATCTATTATAATAATATATGAATAATTTTTTTAAAAGAATTAAATTATTGATTATATCAAAATTGACTATTAATCACATTAATAACCAGAGTAATAATTTTAGATTGTTAGAAATATATCAATACTTTGGAATATTAGTAATTAAAACAAATTCTTGGTTTTCTGGATTCAAGCTAATAAATTAGCATAATTAATAATAATAATTTTTTAAATATTGTATGATTATTTGTAAATTATATATAGCAAAACCTATAACAACATCTTTATTTCTAAAGTATTGGTTTCTCAATAAGCATGAATGTTTTCACAATGTCCAAAATACTCCAGAATCAAAAACATTCCAAATTTAAATGTAATAAATAAAATTCAAAAAGTGCATGATCTTTTTCAAAGAGAGTAATAAACTTCACTAATCAAATAATTGAAATTTGAGCACAAAAAATAATGTTTAAATTTAAGAAGTATTTATAGTTTTCTATTCTATATCTGTAAAATATTTGTTTAACTTTAAATTACTTTTTATTGAAGAAAACAAGTATAAGACACATTTCAATTTTTAAGAATACAGTCAAACCTCGAGTCTCAAACATCTCACTTTTCAAACAATTCAGTTTATGAACAAGATTTTGAACACCATATTTGCCCCAGTGCATTATGATAACTCTGTGTTAAAGAAAACTGATGGCTGACCAATCAATGACAGAACTACTGATTCAGAAGTTAGTGGTGCCAAGATCATCTTGCATTATTAGACATCACGACGGGAATCATTGATGAAATTGTTATTCAAATTAGATTTCAACGTGTATATGGGTAAGATACTACAGTAGAGCGTCATTTATCCGAATCAATTGGGGACTGGGGTTGTTTGGATAACTTATTTTTCGGATAACCGATTATGTACGAAAAAATACATTAACCTATCCTATGTTGAAATTTTTCTCTGTTTTGTGCTGCTTTGCATCGAATTTTCATTGATGTTAAGCCTAACAAAAATTTTTATAATAATAATCATGGCTATTGTATCATTAAAAATTATTTCTTTATTTTGTACAAACAAAATATATATATTGAAAAATATAAAAACAACAAAAGAAAAAAACTTTAGAAGTTAATCTAGTATCAAAAATGTTCAATTCAGCATGACACATAGTCCTCAGAAAAACGCTACACAAAAGTGCCCAGTGCTGCCAGTTAAAACACACACACCAACAAAAAAAATATTGGAGTAGCCCAAGACATAGCCAAAAGTTGCACACCACATTTGCTAACTGGAACGCTTTCAGTTAAGAAATGTTTCAGTTGACCGGCTTTCAGATAAATGACGTTCTACTGTACAGTCGAAATTTATTATATATATCTGGGAAAGAATCTTACCAGTGTTGTAAGNTTGCTTAAGCTTGTTTTCGTCGTGGAGCAGCGCATTGAATGGTTCTCGCATGCTTCCTGATAAATTATTTTTTTTGCAAAAAATTCGCTGAACTTTGGAGACATCATTAATATAAATATAATTTTTATGGACATTAAATAATAAATGGTTTTTAATAGGTCTGCTGCTCGTTTAAACTCAACGGTTTGTACAATATCCTCTATTGCTCTAGATTCAACCAATCCTGTCACGACACAAGTCGGCGATGATGTTTTACCAAATTATAGGAGTTTTCTTAGCATGTTTGTACGAATACTGTCGCAATTTTTTCGCCGTGATATAGGAATCCAAACTATAGAAACCCATGTTGGGGGGTCGACTGTATTTTCATTTTTCAATATGCACCTCAATTGAATTTAAATCAAATTAATTAATAAGAACTGCATAATTGACATTTGCATAATATAAATGACATCCAGGAAACTATGTTTAAAGGTGCTTAACACAAATTAAATAACAAAAATTTATTAATATAATATTATATGTTATAATATTAATACAGTAGAGCCTCGAAAACTCGACACTTGATAACCTGGCACTCCTGATAACTCAGCCACACCCTGGCAGGGCAAAAAAATCCTTAGTTAATTAATTTTCATGATAAAGACAGCTTTATGCCTCAAAGTATTTTTCTGAGGTCTGTCTTATCAGATAAATTACTGTACACAGTATATTTATTAATTTTCATTTTCATGTAGTAAAGGCTCTATGCCTTCATAAAAGACGTACTTTTCCTTTGTTTAAGGGTATTTGGGCAGTTTATTCTCTGTTGTATTCTCAAGTAAACAATACATACAAGTACAGTATAGTATTTTCTGAGGAAACAGTCATACTTATTTTTTTTAACCCCATTCCCGATAACCCGGCATTTTCACAAACTCAGCCACCCTTCGATCCACATTAGGCCAAGTTTTCGAGGCTCCACTGTATTTAATTTAATATTTATTAATTCTAGGTAGCCAGTTAATTAAAACTAAAAATAATAATTAAAACTCTGGTTTTCACACTAAATACTTAAACTAAATTTAAAATGAAATGAAAATTAATTAATCAATTAAAATTTAAATTTAAATCAAAGAAATTGAAACATAATATTTCTAAAATTGTGGATAAAGTATTTGTCTGTCTTGATTGCTTTGGTTATACTGTATTTCATCCAGGAAAAGTCAAGTCTCTATTTATAACACTTTTTTGTAAAGTGATGGTTTCAGTTTTAGTTGACAGTTACAGAGCATTTTGCTTTTAACATATATACAATGGATATAGATATAGTTAATATTATATTATATATATTATATTATATTGCATTTTTAAGCATGAAATACAACTAAAAAGGCTTCATTTTCGGGGTCAGGAATGGATTAATCCATTTTGTTTTGGTTTGAGAACAACTTTTAAGAATGAATTAAGTTCAAAAAATCGAGACTTGACTGTATTTTATCTTTTATTATTCAAAATTTGAATTGTTAATAGTTATCTTTAAATTTTATAAGTAAACTTTTTAATAAATGTAATAATAAAATATATTTAAAATAAAAATAAAAAAATCAGAGTTTTTGGCTCAGATATTTTAAATAATGTAAGGCTATCATTACAACACAATTTAGATATAAAGTAAGAATTCTTACTACATCAAAAAAAAAAAAAATACATTTTATGATATGGTAAGAATTTAAATATTAATATTAATGTAATTTGATCTTTTATACAAATGTTTTAACTTGCACTATATTTATCTCAAAATGTTAAGGTAAAAATAATTGTAAAAACATAGAAAATAAAACTTTCTAGTATACAAGAGTGCTATCTCAGTACTCAGTATACTAGAGAGTTCATTGCGTTTTTATTATTATTGTGCATTTCTACCACTGAAGAGAAACTGCTAATTGATACAGTTTGAAGTGTATATGGTGTAAGTACATCTCTTTGATAATAAAAAAGGAATGTTGAAAAGATCAGAGTAATTTTTATTATATTCATTATTTAAAGTGACTTTTCTCTGTAAAAGTTTTTAAAATTATATATACATAACTTTATAAATTTATTTCTTTTTGTTTTAATTTAGTTTTAAATATATCAGAAATTTGGTTCTCTGTCTAATTTACAATTTTCTTATTTACTTTGATTAATTAAATCCTTTTAACATAATATTAATTTTGCTATTTGTATTTTTCAATACCTCTGTACCTTCAGAGGTATTGAAAAATGTTAACTATTAATTTTATATACAAACTAATTAAAATAAAAGAAAATAGACTTTTCATTTATTTCTAATTTCCATGAACAAAAATTAGTTACTTCTAATAAAATCAGAATTTTTACTTTCCTGACTCTGTTATATATAACAGAGAGAAAGTATGGCGATCAGTCAAAAGATGACCCTCAAGGTTTTTACAGTTTTGGACTCAGGACCATAAAATGCCAAAAATGCAAAAAAATTGGGAGGGTTTTTCTGTATGTACAGTACATATGTTTGTGCATGTGTGTGTGTGTGTGTTGAGAACACGATTTTGTTCACCCTCTTTGAAATTTCATAACTCCTGTGCTTTTTGTCGAAAATTTCTGAAATTGGAATATCTCCAGTAGAGTTGGACTTAATGACAATTTTACTCATTATTAGCATCTACAATTTTTTATATAACACATCCTTACCCTCAAAATTAAGCTTTTTGCCATTTTATAATGGTTAAAAATATAAAAAGTTTTTAATAAAATATAACAGATGGTACCACCATCTGTTATATTGGAATGGTTGCTGGAAAAGTTAAGAAAACTTGTTACTGGATTCTTTTTGTAATAAAATCAAAACTCAATAATTTTTGTTTTTTGGAAATAATTTTTATAATATTTTATGTAATTATTTCTTGATACCATGCAGTTAAAAAATAATTGTAAAAGAAACTGATCATTTAACTCTTATCAGCTAATATGTTAATGTTTCAAATAAACTTATTTCTTAACAAAATTAACTGCTAGAACATAATAAATACAGTAATATATAGTTAAAAATTCTGCATTTTTGTTAAACATTAAATATAACTATAAACAGCAAATAACTGTAATTAGAAATTTAATATGTTAATAATTTCAGTAAAGAAAGTTTATTTTAATAAACAAAGAGAAGAAAGAAAGAGAATGAAATACTTACGTTATTATTTCATAATATATGCAAAAGAAACCTATAAGATAAATTGGCTTCTATGTTTTTAGAAAAGTTTCAATGCAGTTTATTTAAGAAAATAAACAGAAAGAAATTGAACAAAATTATCTCTATATTTTTATACATAAAAATAAATAAAACATTAATTCACCTGTTTAAAAAAACTATTGACAGTTAGCATTACTGGACGAAAATTATCAAGTCCTGCTCCCAAATCATCAGGTGACCAACTACGTCTTTTTTCAGTACCACTTTTCCTCTCAAGAGAACCTCGACGACCCAATGACCCTGTATCCATTGATTTTTTTCGAAATGTTTCAAAAGTATTATTTCCAGTCTTCCGATCTACAAAATAAAAAATAAAGAAAAGAAAATTCAAAACAATTGATATTTAAGCAGAAAAAATTTCTTAGTTTTCACAAGCTAAAAGATTGTCATAAAAATTATATGATGATTTATATTGTATCTATAAATTAAAATCTTCTAATATACTTTTAAAGCTCTCTAAAATGAAAAATATTTATGTAAAAACAAANATAAAAATTATATGATGATTTATATTGTATCTATAAATTAAAATCTTCTAATATACTTTTAAAGCTCTCTAAAATGAAAAATATTTATGTAAAAACAAACAAAAATTAATAATATTTTAAATTCATTTAAATTATAAAATATATGCCCTCAATTTTAGTAGTGTTTTGTCCTTTTACATCATATTTTTCCTGATAACAGAGTCATAACAATCATCTATCTAACCCTGTTCTGAAGAAAATTTTTAAATTGAAATCACGACTTTCCAGTCTAGAGGGAAGTTCATCTATAGTTAATTGGAATCTCCTCCACCTAAGCCTTCCATATCTGGTCTTGACTTTTATCAAACTCCATCTCAAGACTAAGAAAAGACAGACAGACAAATGCTAGTGGAAATTTATAGGTCTGCAAATTGAAAACTGCAGTCCAAACATAATTAATTTCTTTCACAAACTTAAAAATTTTTTAACAAATTAGTTTATAGAACATTTAATATTTAATTTATTTATTCAAAAAGACAAAGATAAAATCCTTTTCAGTGACTTTTTATATAGTATTTTATTATGTATTACTATATTATTATACAGTAGAGCGTCGTTTATCCGAAGGTCAGTTATCCGAAAGAATTCCAGTCGACAAATTTAAATTTTTGTCAGTGCTGTGACGCTGTAATCTTTGGCTATGTCTTCGGCCACTCAAATATTTTACGTTTTTGATACTAAATTAACTTCTGAAGTATAATTTATTATTTTTTTTATATTTTTCAATATATTTATTTTGTTCGTACAAAATAAAAAAATAATTTTTAACGATACAATAGTCTTCGTTAGGCTTAACATCGATGAAAATTCAATGCAAAGCGACACGCAACAGAGAAAAATTTCAACACGGGATAAATTAATATATTTTTTCGTACATAATTGGTTATCCGAAAAATAAGTTATCCGAACAACCCCAGTCCCCAATTGATTCGGATAAACGACACTCTACTGTATATTATTTTATATTATATAGTATTATTATATATATTATGACTAAATATACTATATGTCACTGAAAAGGATTACTTTTGGCCAATTCAATTTAAAAAATCATAACTGAATTAGCCAAAAGTAATCATGTAGCATATTTCATAATAAAGTAAAATATACATTCAATAGTAGTCAGTGCATTTTGTATATTCTATTTAACGTTTTCATTAAACTTAGCATAATGTATTAAATATAAAACAAAAAATAAATTACCAAGACTATTAGCATTATTTGTTTCTTTATCTGTAGAAGGATCTCTTTCCATATTATTCACTCCATTAATGATGTTCAATAAATAAATAGCAGTCCAAGCAAATGGCATTCTATAATTTCCAAGTCTATCACATGTAGCTGCAGCATTTGCTTTCACTTTATCACGATTCTTTTATCAACAACAAAAATAAAGTGTTATAATAGATTAAAATATAGATCTAAAAACTCAATTCAAAATGATTATAATTTTAAAAATTTATTCAATTATTTAATTTAAACCAGTTGAACAGAATCAGTATATAATGTGTAATGAGTTACATAATTAAGAATGGATATGTAAATTGACATACACAATGATTAATTCCAAAATTTTGAAACTTCAATCAACACTCAAATAGATATACATTTATTTCTTTGAATACGAGTAAAAATGCTTGAAAGTGTATGGAAATTTGCTTAGATGCCAATAAAACATTTTTATGGATAAAAGCTAAATAATTTAAGTCTGCCAGAAAATGAATTGATAAATATTCAAGAGGACTGAAGAAATGGCTACAGAGAGATAAAGCTATAGTCAAAAGAACCATCATCAGTGAGCATAGCCAAATAATGGCAAAAATATATTGACATATATAAGTTTGCATATTTAAGAATCCATCATAAAATTTCAGTATACTCTAATGCAGTGATTCTCAACCTTTTTTTTTGTCATGGTACAATTTTAATAATTTAAAAATTGGGTGGCACACACGGTTACTTCGGTAAGTACCGTAGGACAACCGGAGATGTCATAACAGTGATTTTTAAACGCAGTTGGTTATTTAGATCACATTTTCTAAACGTCTTAGTAACTACCGGCAACACCAGTTACAATTTCCAAACGCACCCTAGGAAGATAGAACCAATTAAACTACTTGTCTCATGTCGCTTATGTATGGGATATTCGCAGTGACGGCACACTTCAAAAATCTCGCAGCACACTAAATTGCCGCGAGATTTTTGAAGTGTGGTTGAGAATCACTGCTCTAATGCCTCATCATCACATAATCCAGGGCCATCTTAATGCATAGAGATGTTGGGCAGTTGCCGAAGACCTCACAAGCATAGAAGCCGTATGCTAATTTAGTTGATAAATGTTGTGAGACACGTTGTGTTTTCTGCATAGTACAGAAAAATATTTTTAGACAACTTGAAATCTGTATTTCCCAAGTTTGATGCACTTGAACTGTGCAGGAGAACATTCACTTTCAAGACAAATTTATAAAAAATCAGTTCCACACCACAATGGGGCAGTAGCATTTGAACTGACTTTTACTCATGTATGGGGAAAATGACATACTGAAGACCACTGACTTCAAGTCAATTATAAAACAGTTCTCTGCACAGAAATTTTGCAAAGCTTTGTATTCAATAATTGATCTCATACTGTGTCATCTTCATCTGTATGGTTTACCAAATGAGTAACATTTATGTATTGAAATTTTTGTCTTTCAAGGTTCATGTTATACTGTTTAAGTGTTTATGTTGATTAATCTTTGCTGTACAGCACTGATTTTTGTTGGAGGCACCAATAAATATATGTCTCAATGGCAATATTTTTTTACATCTAAATTTTTTTGGAGAAGTGCTGTCAACCATTGCTAGATTTGGTGAAATTCAAACTCAAGCTTATTAATTTGTATTCACTTTTCGTTTTTCTTAAGTGAAAATTATATGATAAATATTAATATTTAGCTAGAATAATTATTAAAATCCAAACTAAAAAAAATTATTGTAGAGAAAAAAACAATTAAACTTAATATCTTTTTTCTTATTAATTTTGTAAGTAATTAATATGTTCAAATTAATTGTATACAAGAATAATCTGAAGCACAAAAATGATGCAATTATTATAAAATACATTCTTAACACTAAATAAATATTCCATGGTAATTGTTATGTATAAACACTTGATACAGTAACATATGAATATCTAAATATATAAAATTACTTGTCCTGACTGACTGACTGAGTCACTGATTGATTCATCATCGCCTAGAGCAAACCGCTGAACCTAAAGAGGTAAAATTTGGTACACAATTAGGGTACATCATAAAAACGCACACTAAGAAGGGATTTTTCAAAATTTCCCCGCAGGGGAGAGGTACAGCATTAAGGCTTAACTGGAAGAACATCTTCTACTGTACTATTTTAGATGCGATTTTTTGTTTTCAACTACGTTTAATCTTCATTGAGTATTTAGGTGTATTAAATTGATAACATTTCAGACACTGTTATAAATATTTTTATATATTTCAATTTTTAACCAAATATTCGAACCAATTTGAATTTGTATTGCATATTGGTTCGATTATATAACAATTATAAATGTTCCAGAAAACTGATCAAATTGATAACTGTTCATTTAATTCTCAGCAATTCTCATCATTCTCAGCACTAGGTGTTATATAACAATTACTATGATTGTTGAAATACTGAATATAAATGGGGTTTGCTTGCAAAATCCCCACAAGTGAAGTCACGGGTAACAGCTAGTTTATAATATAATATATTATATATGAATATATATATATATTTTAACATAAACCACTTTCATAAACATCAGTATATGTATACTGATGTTTATGAAAGTGGTTTATGTTAAAATATATATATATATTCATATATAATATATTATATTATAAACTAGCTGTTACCCGTGACTTCACTTGTGGGGATTTTGCAAGCAAACCCCATTTATATTCAGTATTTCAACAATCATAGTAATTGTTATATAACACCTAGTGCTGAGAATGATGAGAATTGCTGAGAATTAAATGAACAGTTATCAATTTGATCAGTTTTCTGGAACATTTATAATTGTTATATAATCGAACCAATATGCAATACAAATTCAAATTGGTTCGAATATTTGGTTAAAAATTGAAATATATAAAAATATTTATAACAGTGTCTGAAATGTTATCAATTTAATACACCTAAATACTCAATGAAGATTAAACGTAGTTGAAAACAAAAAATCGCATCTAAAATAGTACAGTAGAAGATGTTCTTCCAGTTAAGCCTTAATGCTGTACCTCTCCCCTGCGGGGAAATTTTGAAAAATCCCTTCTTAGTGTGCGTTTTTATGATGTACCCTAATTGTGTACCAAATTTTACCTCTTTAGGTTCAGCGGTTTGCTCTAGGCGATGATGAATCAATCAGTGACTCAGTCAGTCAGTCAGGACAAGTAATTTTATATATTTAGATATTCATATGTTACTGTATGAAGTGTTTATACATAACAATTACCATGGAATATTTATTTAGTGTTAAGAATGTATTTTATAATAATTGCATCATTTTTGTGCTTCAGATTATTCTTGTATACAATTAATTTGAACATATTAATTACTTACAAAATTAATAAGAAAAAAGATATTAAGTTTAATTGTTTTTTTCTCTACAATAATTTTTTTTAGTTTGGATTTTAATAATTATTCTAGCTAAATATTAATATTTATCATATAATTTTCACTTAAGAAAAACGAAAAGTGAATACAAATTAATAAGCTTGAGTTTGAATTTCACCAAATCTAGCAATGGTTGACAGNATATTTTAACATAAACCACTTTCATAAACATCAGTATATGTATACTGATGTTTATGAAAGTGGTTTATGTTAAAAATAGGAAAACATTGAATTTATTTCACAAACTTTTACAACTACAAAAACAAAAAGCTGTTTTTCAAGGGTAAATACATTTCTATACATTTCCGTGATCTTAAAAAAATCACAGAAATATATATATATATATATATCAATATATATGCTGGCTGATTATGTATGTGTTAATAGATATATATATATAATATACATACATATAAAAAAAATTACTTTTAAGCTGTACTTTGACTTACTTTATCATCTTTGATATAGGGTTCTGCACATTCATTAATATCACCTTGTAACACTTTTTCCAGCTAAAAGTGAATGACTTTAATAAATTATTTAAATTTAAAACAAAATAGATGATCTAATTGTATATAAATATACACTAAAAATAGATTCTAATCAATTATATAAATCCATTATAAATATTAAATCCATAAACAATAAATATATTTAAAATTTTGTTTTACAGACTGTATTTCCATGATTCTAAAACACATTATTTACTCATTTTTGCTTGTTAAAAATAGCAATGCATCTCAAAATTAATATCATCTTACATTTGCAGTTCAAAACAACAACCAGAAGCCATTGCAAGTATTATTGGTGCTTACTGAATGGTGTTTGTGATGCACTAATAATAGACTTTTTCATTACACTACCCAAGATCCTATTAGTTCAAATAAGATTTGTTAATAATGAGTGTTTAACTTAAATTTCCTTTTAATCATTAAAAGGATTTTCATGATAACATTATGATACAGGGTTAAAAGAAATGCTATTGTATGCACAGAAGAACATAGAAATAGAGCAGCCAGACATTATCTATTTCATGATATTAGGTATTATATTATCTAACTTGTTACTTAAAAAATCTTAATAAAATTGATTACTTTAAAATTTTTCTCTGCGTAAACAAAATCTTAAACTTTAATTTCAAAATCATGGTGCTTGTTAGAATCAAATAAATACAGTAATGAAATGTTTAACCTTAATTGATTAATTTCAAATATTTACATATTACATATAATTACACATACCTTTATAACTAAAAACAAATCCTGAGAAGGATAAGTGATATTAAAAACACATGATCTACTAAGAGTAGTTATATCTTGATAAGAAATATGACTTGACAGCATTCTTTTTAAAGGTTCTGGATTCATATCAAAATAAAAATTTTCTGACACCTAACATTAATATAAAATAAAATAATAAATGACATAACAAAGTAATGAAAGCTTCAATGCATGCCATTCTAAATATAAATCAAAATAGTCAAAGTTTTAATACTATAAGTTTGCTACTTTTAATTTATATATTAAATTTTAAATATGATTAAAAGACCATCAACCTTAATAAATAAATTAAAAAATAGCAAAATTTTAGACAAAAACATAATTCAAATATTAAGATAAATTATTAAAACAAGATAGATAAATAACAACAGTGAAAGAGAATATATTCATCTTTAAATCAAAAATTTACTACTACAGTATCTTGCTTAAATTTGATAATTTTGTTAATTTTATTTTTAATAAAAATAAAAATTAAATATTTTAATAAAGTTTAAAAATAATTTTCCTTTCTTGATTCAGCAAATGTTACCTTTTTGTGAATTTGGATAAGTACTTTGCTGTCACAAAATTGACAACATGAAAGTAACAAAAGTTTGATAAGTCACTGTTATATAAGTTCAATGTAACAGGATGAAGTGACAAAGTTCATTATGTTAAGATGCAACCATGACACAAATGTTACCACAGTAAAGCAGAGACAAAATACAGGTCAGGTCTTACAAAGTAGTAAGTAATTTACGTACATACTGTGGCTGTCATGCCAACAACTATTCTAACTCAAGTGAAAATTCACATCAAAGGCATTAAGGAGCGTTTTAAGAAGCATTTTATTTCCGGCTAGCACATTCAACGAATTTATTTTCATCATCTTCAATCAAGACGTGTTTCAAGTTATGTTTAAGTTTACTTATTCTTAATGTTATGTTATGTTCCAAACGGCTAATGCCATTATCGTTTAAATTTAAACCCATTCGAAATCTGTTCATTTTTAACTTTTTGTTTAAAATTATGTGTGTTCCATTTCTGTTCGAACATCTATGTTTGATTTAATACTTTTTATTCGCCTGAAGCGAATAAAATAAATTCATTGAAAGCGCTAGCCAGAAATAAAACGTTTCTTAAAACGCTCCTTAACACCTTTGATGTGAATTTTTGCTTGAGTTAGTAGTAAGTAGTTTACAGTCATTCTGATTTACAACTATACATTAACTTTTTATTTAAAATGCAAAAGTAAATATTGGTAGATTTCCTTACAACATATACCGTATTTACTCGCATATAAGACGAGGTTTTTATTCATTTTTCACTGCTTCAAAAACCTAGGTCGTCCTATATGTGCAAGTGAAAGATTCTTTGCATTTTTTCAATAATTTTTGTAAACCGTGTATTTGCATTTTTTACCAGATCCTCACCTTCTGGTGTTTAAAAACAAAAGTATTTTATCTGGATCATTTGAATCATTCTTGTGTATTGTCAGGAGTAAAGATGAATAGCAATAGGAAAAGCAAAGCTTTTGAATTGAATTCCAAAATTACATGAGAGCCCGATATAAATTTTAATTCATTCCCACATGAAAACAGATGGTTATTTGGAAATCAGAATTCGAAGAAACTCATAAGTTTAATCGACAAAGAGTGAATTTGACTGTTAAGAATTGGCAAAAAAGGTTCCTGATTGTTCAGCTTTACACAAACAAATTATGTTGTCGATTTTACAAGACTTTTCCTTGAACTTTAAAATGCTAGTAATTTTTGCAGGACAATGTGTGCATTTATGTGCATTTGATATTTTATTTGTGATTAAATGAAATAAAATTAGAATTGTATTAATAAATCTAATTTTCTTTATTTTGATCTTTAAAGTCATACCTCGTCCTATATGCAAGATCGTCTTATATTCGAGTAAATATAGTATACCATATATTGAATAATATTATGGTTATTGTTTCCACAAAAGTGGTTTAGCCTTATATGCTTTTGCCATACTTTATCATTTACTATAGTTCTAGCCTACAAATGTCTTACTATATGTTTGGGAGATCAACTTATACACCTCAAAGTAAAAGTCAACATTAGAGTTTTGAGTTGAAATTCTTGAAGTCAACTTACACACAAAATTGATTTATATACTGACATATATAATGTTTTAAAAGTAATTATTTTCAATGCGTGTGCATGCATATGCATATACTCTAATTTAATTAGACTATTTAGCATGTTATTGAAAAATATGGATTTTGGTCCAGCCAAACATTTTTTCTTCTGTCTAGGCTGGATTTTTTCTTTTAATGATATGATTTATATTTTGAATTTTTCTTCTTTTTTAACAATGTCAGTCACTCAATTAGTATATAAATATAAACAAAATTGTTCCTTTTGTTAAAAAAATGAATACTTTTGAATTTGTACTATAATCATACAGATTCTCATGTTAATGCTAAAGTTTTAAAATTGTATTCTTCAGTTTTACAACATTTTAAACAATATTTTTGTACTATATTTTATGGCATCCCCATTTCAGCACAGATATTTAGGAAAAAGTATTTAGTATATTTATTAAGCTACAAACTTTGGCACTTGGCCCTAAAATATTTTAACTGTATTCTGGCTTAAAAAATAGATAAATAAAATAAATTTCGAATGCACACTTTTATTTATATTTAAACTCTTCTTTTTCAAAGAGTTTAAAAAAAGTAATTTACAATTAAACTTTACTATTAAAATATTCAACTTTGATATGTGCAAAAGCTACTTAACTATAGCAAAAAATAATATGTTTAATTAAACAATTACATTTTTATTCAAAAGTTGAGATTGGGAGTGGTTACCTGTAGCCTACAGAAAATTTTGAAATATATTCTATTCCTTAATATTTCTTTTACAATATGATTCTAACCAATTAAAATATTAAATTTAAGATGTTAATAAATACATCAAATGATAATCTTGATACACACCTTTTTCTTTTCCTTAGCATCATACAGAGCCATAATGCCAAACAAAGGTTCAATGTCCAGTTCTAATCTGAAGAAAAAATATTCTCACACTTTTATAAATATCCTCTTGTTTATATAAATTTTGAATTATAAATTCCATACCAAAATGTTAAACTTACTTTAATGCAAGACATTTCACTAATAATCTATGTCCAATATGTTCTTTTGGTATTAATGCAGGTATTCTTCTTTCAATTATTTCTTCCTAAAATAATAATAAATCTTTAAAGATATAATAAAAAAAAACAAATGATTAACATTGTAACATTCTTTTTAATAAAAATGTGAAATCCGGAATTTTTGTCGACTATTTGTCGATCAATTGTCCTGTATTTGCTTAAAATCTAATTAAATTTTCCTTTAACTTAAAGTGGAACCTAACGGAAAAAAAAACCCTTTTCGTTTATGTTCGACATAAACATCCGTTCAATTCAAAACTAATCCCACATTCCAACTCCAAAGTTGATAGTTAGCAACGGCCCGGGAACAACTTTGACCCATCCGCGTACCTTTTACCTTACAACAATTGGTCACATGACCATTCTCCCACGCCAAACTTATAAAAACCCCTTCCTTCCCCTTCTCGGGGGGAGTCGTTCATTCGCCGTCACTTTTACAACTGTGTCCTAGGAATATTGTGTCCTATTTATATACTGTGTCCTTTACGATATTGTGTCCGGAAGAAGAATTATTATCCTAATTCTACCACATCGTTGGATATCACAACCTTTTTCCTTAAGAATATTCAAAGACATAAAGAGGTATGGACCTTATTTTTGTGAACTCTCTCTCGGTCCTTCGCGGTTCAGGGATTCAGATTTTCCCTTTTGAAATTGGTTATTGTAATCTCTATGTAGCTAATAAATCGTTGTTATCCTGTTAAAGTGGTGTCATCTTTACTCGTATATCGCCGGTCATCTTACCGACGCACTCCTCCCTCCGCCACTCGACCCGAAACATTTAATCCCGTTACCGCGGGAAAGGTTAAAATTTTAATCCATCCTGACCAGTGAGAAGGGTTTAACGACCTGTTGCCGGATCGGGAGACCTACACCCTCCCCGGC